GTCAATTAAGACTCAGGACATATGAGAACTTGTACTGTAACGTCATGTAACTCAGTAGTGTCCCAAATTTTCTGATCAAGGAGATTATGGAGCCATATAGGAAAGTGATCAATGATGCAAAGTGTGCCTAAGGAGAGTCACATGGAGAGAAAACACTCTCTCAGGCTTTCAGAGACAGCACATTGGCCAAGCAATGGCTGTGATTCATCCACATGGCTGACACTGACAAAGGATCTACAATCTGAGGTACAGGGTCTCAGGATAAATCCTAAGGGGATTTGACAGATCTTATCAGATCCAAGAGCTACAATTCTTGTTATGTAGGTCTTGCTTTATCTTGGTCTTAACCATCCAGCTGAAAAGCATAAAAACCAAGTACAAGAAATAAAGCCATGTTGTTATGTTGAGCTGTAGGGCACTTAGGTCAACAACTTCTGGTATTGACAGTCAAGTGGAAGACCCAATACTATTATGGACTACTAGACTCTTTTAAAATATTTTGCTGGGTTAACACACCTATAATATTGAAATGATGGAACTAAACATAAAAAGGGGATATAGATGAATGACCATTTTGTATCTGTGTACTTAAAATGCTTAGAATAGATATATAGGTACATTCTCTTAATTCAAAGAATACAGCGATTTGTTCTAATAGTGTTTGTAAATAGGATATCATTTCTGCATCTTGTACAACAACTAGGAAGGCATTATGCAATGTGATGATTATTGGACCTGTCCTACCTATTTGATTTCAAATTGTCTCATTGCTATTTCTCAATAAAACTATGGAAGAAAAATTTAAAAAATAAAGTTTTGCAAATTAAAACAACAGAGTGATGAGAATTCTGTTCCTGTAGAAGTTTCATTATACTGATTAATTCCAAATACTAAGCTTTAGGGCGTGGCCCTGCTCTCCTGCCCGGGCTTGGCTCTTCCCCAGAATCTTATGCCCTGCATAACAAATATGGACTTCTGATAAAGAAGAAGAGTTGGACAAAGTGGATACTCTACACCATGCTTAGGAGAAGCTCCTGGCATGGGCCATTGAGGTCCAGAATGAGTTAGTCTCTCTGAAGCCCAGTTTCAGGAAGGAGTTTATTGGGACCATGAAGGTCGTCCTCTAAGCGTGTCGCCAGTTTTATCTGGATTACAATTTGGTTCTTGCTACACAGCTTAGAATCACAGTAATCCTCCTGTTTTAGCCTCCCCAGTGCTGGGATTACAGGTGTGCACCACCCCACCAGGCCCAGCTGCTTCTACATAAGCAGCAGCATCAAGCAGCAGTGTCACTGTCACCCCAGTTTCCTGGTCCTCAAGAGTGGCTCTTGAGTACATATCAATATGCCCAGCTAATTATATATATAATCTCCAGCTGACCTCATGCAAATGCGTAACTTATCTACTTGACAATAAATTCTACCTAGAATTCCATGTGGCTTGATAGAACTCTGTCAAAAGGAATCCAAAATTCTTTCACCTTTGACATTTATCAATGACATCTACTCTTCACCTGTTAGTTTGTAAGAAATTACAGGGGACCCACTTGCTCTAGCCCCACTCCTGTCCCTCAGACAGGAGCTTTCTTTCCCTCAATAAATATATTCTGGTCATAACCTCCATTTGTTGCTAAAATTCATTCTTTGGTCTTAGAGAACACAAACTCATCCAGGTCAGGTCAGGAGATGATTTTTTCCCTATGTCATTTGGAGGTTCCTTGTATCATCTGGAGGTCACTCACCCAAGATCAGTTTTTCTTCCTGTATCATTTTAGAGTTTCCCACCGAGATCACTGGATGGAGGTATGAGTTTGCTTTTCTTTCATATTCACTGCATGGTTTTACTCTATAAAAGTCCTTGGAAAAGACAACTTTCCAGAGAACCACCTGCTCGGGCCCTCCTCCTGTCCCTCTCTTGGACAGGAACTTTCTTTCCCTCAATAAATATATTATGCTCATAATAAAAAGAAATTACAGACTGGGTATATTTTTCCCCCTGTGTGAACATTCAACAGGCCCACTTAACACACACACACACACACACACACACACACACACAGTGAATGGATGGACATTTTCTATGTACTGGAAAATTATATACTTTATTAAAATTTAAAATGACAACATACTAGCAAACCACAATAATTAAAACCTTGTAGTGATGTGTGAAATGAAAGCATATTCTTCAGGGTTGCTTGGTCTGGCCATTATCTCTGTCTATAGCTTTCCCTGTGCTTATTTATACTGAACAATAAAGGTGCTGCTAACTCACCCAGGACAGCAGGAAACACTTGCAGGTTCTTCTCTGAATAAAGTTAGTAACCACTGGAGACAAAGCAGCACATGGTCATGGGGTATCGATCATGTACAAGGGCTCATTGAAATATAACACTCCAGCACTATGACAATTTTTTTCCTTAAATTTTGAAGTTAGGGACAAAAGTTTCATTGAGAGATGAACGAAAGTACAAGTCAGGACCCTAGAAATCCTGCCAGTTCCTAAGTTTGCCAATACCTAAGTTTGCCAAATACCTAAGTTTGCCAATTCCAAAGTTGGTGATGTTCAACTGCCTGCTTCAAGGCTCAGGGAGAGGGACCGAGAATAGGTGGATTTTCTTGAATGAATTTCTCCATGTCCCACCAAGGGCTCCTCAGCCCAGATTAGGGCAAGAGTCCTAGGGAGAGCAGCAGAGAAAGGTAAAAGCAGGAGGTGGCAGAGGACCCAGTAGCAGCAGGGAGAGCAGCAGTGAGGGAACTGCCAGGAGCACTGGCCGTGGCCCCTGATGTGCACTGACCATGGCCTGATGGTTCCAGCGCACGCACTGACGGCCTTAACTATAGGAACGCTACAGGCCAGCGTTGGGACAAGGCAGGGCAGCATGGGCTAATGGGTACTCATGGGCGGAAGGGCCATCTCTTGGGGACATGCGGTCCATCTAGAGAGTACTACTTAGAATTCCCATCCTCACCTCCACTCCTTTCTACTGAGAGGGAAGAGGTAGAAAGAGGGAGAGTGGCAAGCAGGGAGACCAGATGGTGCAGCGAGGGCAGTTCTTGGTCTTGGTGAGGGAGTCCTGGCATTGCACGGGCCTCCTCTAACAGTGCAGGGTGGAGCCCCGCTCTGCTGAAATCCAGCCCAGGAGCCTGCCTAAGAGGAGGAGGAGGAGGAGAAGGAGGAGGAGGAGGAAGAAGAAGAGGAGGAGGAGGAGGACAAGTAGGAGGAGAAGGACAGGTTCATGTCCTCATCTTCATCTTCATTGCTGGAGTCTGAGGAGATACCATCTTCTTCCTTGGGTTCCTTCCTGGTTTTCTCAGATCCGGGTGAGTGGGGCTGTCTGCTGGACACCGCACCTGGAGCATCTGTGCCTGGAGTCTGTGGCCCATTCTCCTTGCCTGGTTCTTCCTGCAGAGGCGTGGCTGGTGAGGGCGGCAGGTCTCTCCTGCTGAAACTGGGGTTTGGGTCTCCAGGCGAGGTCACGATCTTGCCCTTCCCAGAGCTTCTCTTTTTGTATGCGGCATACTCCTCAGGGGACAGACCCTTGAGCCAGAGGTCCAGGTCCACCCAGTAATGTCTTTGCAGCTCCTCCGCCTGCTGCCTATACTGTTCCCTCAAGGCCGGGGGCACGCGATGCCAGCGCCTGCCGATCTCCACCCTGCGCTCCTTGGGGGACAAGTCTTCCAACTCCTTCTTTGACCACCAGTCATCTTGAAACTTACTATATGCCGTCATGGGGGGCTTCGCAGGCTCTCCATGAAATTTCACATACTTGCCAAATGCATTGGTCTTGGATGGAGGCCTCACGCTTTGCACACTGTCTTGGGCATTTTTTGGAGCTTTGTTTGGGCTCCTCTTGCCCCCACCAGACTTTTTGGAGCTCTGGACCTGATCGGGGTGGTTTTGCCAGAATTGAGCCACTTTTTCTTCAAATTCCTCCCTGTCCTTCCAGTATTCCTCAGTGTATTTCTGCTTCACCTCCTGTGGGAGCTGCCTGTACTTCCCAGCCAGGATCTTGGCCAGCTCGTGGTTGTTCATCTGAGGGTACTTTTGGGAATATTGGAGCCTCTGCTCCTTGTAAAATCGGAAATAAGCCGTCAAGGGCCTTTTGGGGAAGTCGGGGTGCTTCTGGGATCCATTGTTTCCATTGCGACTGCTAATGAGTTTTCTGGCTTCCTGCACCACTTTTGCCAGCGGCTGGAACTTCCCTAATTCGGAACAAATCTCTGTCCACTTGAGTTTACACACATCCCCAGAGAAGCCTTGAAACGCTATTTTCTCCCAGTCTGGTTGTGACTCGTCCACTTCGGACCCTGGGTTATCACTGGACAGGAGGTTATTTTCAATACGCAGCAGTAACCTCCGGATGTCTTTCTTGGACCAGCGGCCTTGGCTAGGAGGCGGTTCCATCTCAAGCTTGGGCTGGGGACGCTGTCTGGGTCTGAGTGGTGCAATGACCTCCACAGGGACCAACCTCCTCCTTCTGCAGGGAAAGAGGAGATTCCTACAAGTCCTGCTCCGCGTGGGAATCTGTATGTTATAAGAGAGAGCGAGATGGGATTAATGAAGGAAAGAGTCACTGGTCCTTCGGAATTCTCACACAATCACTTCACTCTGAGCCGTGTGTTGGAACTTTGTTGTCACTCTTGTGTATGAAATTAAAACCAGCGTTAGGTGAGAACAATGGAGCTCCTCACGAGAGACTGCTGAAGCTTGTCAGAGGTTTAAGGCTGGGAAGGGCACCACGCTTGAAGACAGAAAGGAGAGTGAGCTAGAATTCACTAAATTAAATCAAAAGCAGAAAAAGACTCCATTTCCTTAGATAATGCAAACATAAACAGAGTAGAATAGTGAGAATGTGAGATAAAATTAACATTGATATTAAAAAAGGAAAAATGTCAATAAAAATAATTTCATCATTTTTATAGTCAAAACTCATTTTTCAATGGCTTTAGGATGGAAATTTGTTTTAAATCTACCACCATTTTTGGAATAATTAACATTAATAAAAAAGAGTCTAGGGGCCGGGGAGAAGGCTCAGTAGAATAAGCACTGGCAAGCACAAAGGCCTGAGTTCAATCCCTGGTTCTGCAAAAATAAATAAAAATAAAAATAAAAAAGAGTCTAGGATGCGTTCTAACTAAAAAAGTAAGTTGTAATATTGACATTACAAAGTGGGTAAGGACAAACAACGTATGTCTTCCTTATACCAGATTAAATACCTGAAGGTCCCCCTTGGAAATACCTACGTCTCCAGTTAAAATCACAGCTTTACCATCTAATTCACTGTGCTCTTTACTAAGGCAACTGTTGTTGACATTTAAATCTCTTGATCAGAATGGGTGCATTGAACTCTGTCATTTCTGGGACCTCGGTGTAGTCACCAGCGTCACGTTTCCACAGCCATCACCAGATTTTTCTATTACTATTTGAAACAAAAAGGTTGCAATCTCAAGTTCCTGAAATTCCATGAGTTTTCCATTAGTTTCTGCAAAAGTTTGAGTCCCCCTGTGCTGACAGTGAGACTAAGATACCTAGGAATTGTCTTCCAAGAATTTAACATTTGGATAGAGTAATAATATAAAAATGAAAATATCACATCAAGTTCTAGTAGAGATAAAAGTTGCATAGCTCCACATAATCTGAAAATAATTCCCTGACTTTTATTTATTTATTTATTTTTTATTTTTTTTGTGGAACCGGGGATTGAACTCAGGTCCTCGCGCTTGCCAGGGAAGCGCTTATTCCACTGAGCCATCTCCCCGGCCCTCTCTGACTTTTATTAAAGCTGCATCCTCATCTACTTTGGGAAGCCTTCAGCCTTCTGAACACAGGATTTCACAAAAGTGGAGGACAGAAGTATGAGTCCATACCTTGAGAACGCTGCACTCACCTGAAGCTTCTGTCAGGATCCTTATCTGCTTCTTGCAGGAAAAATCCCTTCTCTCAGCGCAGGGTCTCTGTGTCCTCAGTTGGCTGAAGCAAGCAAGATGTCCCAGTGCGGCCACCTCCAGGTCCCTGTGATGAACAGACTTTGTGGTGGGCAGCACCTTAGGCACTTTCTCCTTGCAGACAGAACACTCAACACGCAAAGGGAAAGCAGGTCACCCTGCTCTGGTCGCACCCTAGTTTCAGTCCCTAATCAGCTGGCTCCCCCGCAGGACAGAGAGGCACAGCTGCCTCTCAAAGCAAGTAAGAGGCAGACAAGATCCGCAGAAAGGTCAAGTGAGGACTGTCTTTCTACTCCTTATACCTCACCCAGGTTACCCACTCTTAGGTTAGGAAGCACCCCCACCCTTAATCCCAGGCCTTTGAAGTCCTTAATCTCAGCATCAAACACATACATAAACCACACCTACTGCCAGCCAAAGGTGCAAGGATTTTGCCCCCACAGCCTGCAGAGGCAGTGGTGCAGCTGACACTTGCGTGGGAGATGCCAACCCTGCACAGCTGTCACAGAACGCATTGTTCTTAAGCTATTTGCTCTGTGGCAATGTGTTATGAGCCCTAGATCACCATGCAGCAACTCCATGTGGTGGGAATTTTCTCCAGCCTGTTTTCTGTACTTCTAAGGACTACTCAGCACCTCAAGTAGGAGGAGCACAGCTGTAGAACTTGGACCTAACACTATAGTATAAAAGAGAAAGAGGAAACCGAGTGTAGTGGGGCACAGCCATACTCCTAGCACTGGGGAGGCTGAGGCAGGAGGATCACTCCATGCCTTCCGTGTCTCTACTTAAGCAAGCTCAGGGCCAGCTTGGACAGATAGTGAGCCTCTGGATCCACAAGAGGAAAAGAGAACTAGCAAATGATGATTAAAATGATGTTGAACAGTGCCGATTCCAGCCCCGCTTTGCTACTGCAGTGTGAAAAGAAAAATATAACAAATATGGTCAAGCTGAGAATACCTTGTTGGGGAATGGGGCTGCCCAGGGCAGAGCAGGGGCAGGATGATCAAAGTGGAAGCTGGGCCAGGTCACAGGACTGACTGGGAGGGAGGGACAGCCCGTCTCAAAGTTAATCTAAAGAAACGAGCTGGGCATGCAGCACAGTGCAAGGTCCTCTGTTCTACTACCCATAAAACTTTTATTTTTTTTTCCATAAAATTAAAAAAAATTATTTAAGCATTTTTATTACAGACCATTTATAATATTGAATATATCTATAGAACACATTCTGATAGTAGATTGTATGAAAACAGTTGAAATAATGAAATCAAGCATGGTGGGAGTAAGAACATTTGAAAATTTTCTTAATAATTTATCATTTTTTTCCATGTTGTACTGGAGGTCTCCCTAGTGCAGTCGATAAAAATGATGATCAAGGGAAATTTTTTATTAATTAATTTTTTTGATAATACATGGTCTCGCTACATAGTTCAGACTCATAGTGATCCTCCTGTCTCAGCCTCCCCAGTGCTGGGATTACAGGTATACACCATTATGCCAGGTTTCGATGGCCTGCACAGTGTGGGTTGGCATAGCACATAGTGCTGGGAATTGAACCTGGATCCTTGAGCTTTCCAGGTAGAAGCTTAGACCACCGAGCTGTCTCCCAAGCCCAAGCAAGGGAATTTAGACAAGAGAAACAAAAAAATTCCAAACAAGATCATAAGCCATTGAAATATCAATCATCTGAAGGGAATCATTATCTTCAAAACAAAATCCAAAACTGCATGGGTCTCAGCATTCCGCTGTGCTGGAGGATTCCAAGTTCTTGCCTGTCCTGGGCAACTGAGCAATACTTCACTTAAAATTTAAATTCACTTCTAGAGATGTTGCTCAGGGCAAAGGCCTTGGCTTCACTTCCCAGGATGGAAAGAAAGAAAACAACTAATAGAAGAACTACGTGCTAATGAATTATGAAACAATGAGGTAAGAAAATGTGTTCAAGGGGCTGGGCAGATGGCTCAGCAGAATAAGCGCTTCCCTGGCAAGCACAAGGGCCTGAGTTCAATCCCCAGTTCCACCAAAAAAAAAAAAAAAAAGTATTCAAGAAGAATGGATTAATTGTATATTTCAAAGGTCTAGCAGAGTGTGAAGCTTCCCAGCACAACCAAGTTATCATAGATGTCATTAGAAGACCTGGAAATGCTAATTACCTGGTTTATGTTACACTTTTATATTTGTTTCAAATTAGGATATTGCAATCTATAAGTAAAGTATGTTGATAAATAGGGGCTTTAAAACTAATGCACAGGTACAATATATAATAAATTATTTTTCTTTTAAATTAATTTTTTAATAATTAATAATTTTTTCTGGCACTATATGAAACAGGGGCTTTCCTACTAATTTGTACTCCTGCCTTTTTATACTGTTTTATATCCTCAAACGGGTCTTAAGCTAAGTGTGGTGACATACCCTCTAATCCCAGCACTCCCCTCCAAAGGCTGAGGCAGGAGGATCACAGTGAGATCATCAGCCTGGGCTGCAAAGTGGGCTCAAGGCCAGCCTGAACAGCATAGGGAGGCCCTCTCGCAAAACACAACAAAGTATAACAAAGCAAATAAAAGAAAATTAAAAACTTGACTTACTGCTAAGCCCTTCCATGAATGATTTATTATAAATCAGGTCAATTATGTTTAGTAACAATTACTTTTTTAATGATTGGATATTTCTTTTTCACTTTAGTCAGGCTGTTCTATGCCTTCTAGACTGTCTAACACAATTCCTGGTTTCTACACACTGAAGCCGGTGGTAATCACCAGTTGTGTTAAACAAATTCTGCTAAACACTGACAGATGTCCCTGAGGGAAAAAAGTATCGCCCCAAATGAAACTTCCATTCCTGTCATGGGAAGAGAATTGAGATGTTTAAAAGATCCTCTAAATATTACAGACATGCTACTTAGTAAAATCAAAAGGGCTCTACAAGCCAGGAACATGTAAATTTGATTATGTAACTATAAAATTATCAGTAGATGTTTATCTTTATTTTATTTATTTATTTATCTATTTATTTGCTCCGAAGGCCTTCAGGGCAGGTTTGGCTGGCTGGAGTGTTGTGGGGATCGAACTCCAGCAACCTGAGGCTGACAGCTTTGTGGAAGCAGCCACTTAAAGAACTGAGCTAGGGCCAGGCCCCAGGTGTTTATCTTTAAAACACAAGTATGGGCCGGCCAAATAGCTCAGCGGATTAAAGTCCCCACAAGCAGGCGCAGGGGCTGGGGGTTTGATCCCCGGGCCCACTGTGCAGGCCCCGCCACCCAGGCGTGCTGAGATGGCAGTTGAGACAGGGCATGGTGCTGTGCGCTTGTAATCCCAGCACTCGGGAAGCTGTAAACAGGCAGATCACTACAAATCCAATCTAGTAGTGAAACCCTGAACACCCTGTAGACTCTTCCCTAAAAGACAGAATTAAAAAAAAAAACAAAAACACAAAACAACCCACAAGTATACCAGCAAATAT